AACTCGAGTCGAGTCTCCTTGCTTAACAATCCTGAAGGTGCAGGCTCGGGACCAGGCTTGTCGCTACAAGGGCCTTTGTCCGTTTTACCCGTAGCATTCAGTATTGGCTTTGGCTCAGGTCAGAGACTTAAAGGGTTGGGTTAGAGGGGAGCCCTGATTCGTGAAGGACTGGTTTCGAGCCTAGCCCTGATTCGTTAATGACTGAATCTGGGCCCTGCCCGGATTTCCCACATACGTTCTCCCCCCCCCCTCCCCCTCCCCTCCCCCCGCCTTCTGCTAGTTTTCCTTCCCCCTTCCCTAGACACTGGACTTCCCTTAGAGAAAAAACCAACCCCCTCATCTCTCCCTGAGTGACTACCATGACTTGGAAACAAAAACCCAACCCACTTGTACTATTATTCCTCATCACTTGCACCAGCAGCATACATGGCATACATGCCTACAGAAATCTTGTCCCAATCAAGCGAAAATATAACAACGCCCTTCTTGAGCAATCCTAATCAGTCAGGGACCCTGGCCTGCTCACCGAACTCGCCACGAAAATCGTCCTCACTCGGCAAAAACAGCAAGCCTCGCCGTGCCCCAGCTTTTCGCAGGCGTCGCCAGCCAGTGCGACGCACGTACGGGCAAGGACCAGTAGCAGAGCGGCTACCGCCAGTGGAGCTCCACTGAGCAACCCACTCACGAAGCTGCTGCGGCGAGAGAGTCTCCTGTCGACGCGGCTGATGCTGCTGCTGCAATCCACCCCCAGAACCGCCACCTCCACCTGCTGGTCCACCGGACAAAGCTCCACCAGACGCCGCACCGGGGCCACCACCCCCACCAGCTCCACCACGACCACCACCCCCACCTTCTCCGCCACTCCCGCCACCCCCGCTACCTCCACCAACCCCGCCTCCCCCACCGCCTCCGCCACCTCCACCACCCCCACCACCCCCACCCCTCTTGCACACACCCCTATTGCGCCTCCCGCTAGGAGCGGACGCAGCTCCGACCTCCTCACCACCGAGGAAGTCAACAGCAGCAGCAGAGGCAACAGGGGACGCCAGAAGGGAGGGAGTGCACCCCTCAAAAAAGGAGGTGTTGGGGGTGCCACTGGAGGCAGCTACAGCGCGGGCACTGGTCTCGGCCTGGAGGAGACGAGTCTCAAACGAGTCAAGGGTGAGACTAGTGGGGTTTATAGAGAGGAAGTGGGCTTGAACAGCACGAAGGGTGTCAGGGAGGCGAGTCACGAGGAAGGACAGAATGAGGTACATGGGGGGCTGGTTCTTAGCCATAAACTCTAGTGGGAGAGCGGCACGGTAGCGAGTGGCAAGGGAGCACAGGTGGGCCACGAGGTCAGCTACAGTGGTGAAGTCTGACAGCTCAGGGAAGAGAAACCGCAGTGCAAGACGACCTAGGGTGGCAGAAGAGGGGGAGGAGTAGCACTTAACTACCGCGGCATAGAAGGCATGGGCCGACTTCACCTGGCGAAAGTGGGCCCTCTGGTCGGGCGAGAGGTGAGCGCGGACTGCAAGTAAAACAGTGGCGTCGCGTGCCGCCCACTGCGTGCAGGCAAGGCGGTCACCGCGGTACTTCTTTTGCATGTCCTCTGCAGCAGTAGCGGCAGGCTCTACTGGAGGCTTGGGGGGCTCGAGGGACTTCGAATTGTGCTCACAGGTCCGTGGTGATATTCTGCAGGTACAGGTGCATGCCCTCTAGCTAGGACTCAAACTCGATAGGGCGCCCCTCTCCATCAAAGGTTAGGACAGTGATAGTCGCCATGGAAGAAGGTCAGGCAGCAGGACTAGGAGTTAGCTGCAGATCTAGGTATGGAAAGCACGGCAGTAGGTGAGCGGCTCGGCAGCAGGCAGAGCGGCAGTGTGGCGCGGTGCGGCAGTAGGTAGGGCGGCACGGCGCGGCAGTAGGCAGGGCGGCACATCGCGGCTCGGCAGGGCGACGCGGCGCGGCAGGGCGGCGCGGCGGCGCGACTCGGTAGTTGGTGGCAGAGGGCGGCTAGCGTGGGCGGCAGCGGGCGGCTAGCGCGGGCGGTAATGCGGGCGACAGCGCAGGCGGCAGCGCGGGCGGCAGCGCAGGCGGCAAGCTGCAGCGCAGGCGGCAAGCGACAGCGCAGGCGGTGCGCGGGCGGCAGGGGGCTGCACATGGGCGGGCAGTGGGCCAGAAGCGGGCAGCTGGTGGCAGCGAGCTGTAGGTGGGCTGCAGCGGGCCGGCCAGCGAAGTAGGGCGGGCGGCATCGCAGGGGGCAGTGTGGGCGGCAGTGCGGTGCAGGCGACGGGGCAGCGCAGCGGGGCAGTGCGGGCGACATTGCGGCAGCGCGGGCGGCAATGCGGGGCAGCGCGCGCAGTGCACGCGGCGGGGCAGCGCAGTGGGGTAGCTCAGCGGGGCAGCGTGGGCGGCAGCGCGGCAGCGCGGGCGGCAATGCGGAGCAGCGCGGCAGCGCGCGTGGGGCAGCGCGAGACAGCGCGCGCGGGGCAGCGCGGGGTAGTGCGCGTGGGCATTTTAGAATAGCGCGCGCGGGGCAGCGAGATCAGGAGCGGCAGCAGCGGCGCGGCGGTAAGCCAGTGGGCGACAGCGGGCAATAGTTTGCACATGAGGGTAGTGGCGCGCGCTAAGGCAGCAGCGCGTAAGGCAGTAGGGCGGGCGGAACGTACCTACTTGATGATACCATGTTGGAAACTGAAACAGCGGAATGATTGCATTGAGCAGCATGGGTGATACGAGTATGAACCCTAAAAGGGTTGTACCCCTTACAGCATGCCTCATTACAACGTACAACACAATATAACATTTGACAAGTGCGCCAAGGTAATACCTTCGGGAATGCTGTATAACCCTTTTGGTTATTCCAACAAATAACACCATGGAAACAAACAAGGGATCTAATTGAGCTATATAATCCTACTTATAAATTTACTCTGTGGGGTACAATCCCTTCTTCAACAGTAATACGTTACAGATATCGGTACACCAGCAACTATTCCGATGCCTAGCAGTTACAAGGTGCAACGCGTAACCTCTGGTCCTGGTCAGTCAACGGTCTCGACAATTGATTTCCGACTATTGACTTTCCATCTCCTTGCTATCGCGTGCTCTATAAGAGCGTATTCCTATGGCTTCATATCAGGCCACCTCGTATCAAGATTGTACTTTTCGCCTGGTAAAAGTAGCGAGATGTTTTGGGTTTAGGGGAATTTTCAGTGTGAGGGGTTCAGGAGGGGTTCAGCAAGGAGAACCATGGAGAGGGAAGTTGGCCAAAAGAGGGCTTTCATTATGGAGTTGGGAGTACAAATAGGAAGGAGAGGAAAGGGGAATGGTACACCACCAGCAGTTGGTATCTAATAACTAATATAGTACACTAGCTAACTGTAGGCAGTTATAAGGTATGCAAATACAATTCAACAGCCTGATATGAGGTTGCTTGATACGAGGTGTAGGAATACGCTCTAAGAGCGTACCTAACGCGATAGTGGTGAGAACGCATCCTCTGTACGAGTAGGTGTGCTATTGCCATAGCTTAGGATTGCTAGAATAACCTTTTCGGTTATTCCAACAATGTGAACACAAATATTTGATGAACTAATGGATCTTGATGCGTGGAATTCGTTGGTATCGTAACATAGGAAACTCCATTCGGCAATAAATTGTTACACATGGTAGAATCCATGACGGAGACAACTAGTCTTGTTATTGGCCCTTCCTTACAGTGTGGTGGAGGTTGGTTGGTAGAAGGTACGAACAATATAGGATTATGAATTATGTTCTTTATTTAGCCCTTTCTACATAACAAACATGAAACGAGTAGTGTTAGTAAAAGATCAGTGTCGGTCGAACAATTCTCTGTTGCAGCTCTGTGGGAAGTGTGTCAGTGCCAACCGAACCGCAAGCAGGACGCTTTCGCTTCACTGACGTCACCTCACTGGCATCTCACCTCACCTCCTCCCCTCCACGGCGCACCTGCTCTCCCTCCGCTGTTCTGTTCATGGCTGTAGTGTACTTGTACGAGATTCCCCCCCACCTGCATCCACTCCACACCACACCCAGACCCGTTTTGTCTGACAGAGCGGGATAAAGCATATCATTGAGAGGGGGTGTCTGTTGGGTCAACTCCGCCTATCGATGCTCTGCTCCGCCACTCTGCCCCCAAGCCATGGAGCCGTGTACTACGAATTGGGACCACACGGTCGAGTTTGGTTCTATGAGCGGCCATGCTGGATTCGAATCGAAATAGGAGACCATATTAGTCCGGAGGGCGTCCTTTCCTGGTGAAGGTTTTTTCTTACCAGCTCACCTTCGTTCCTGGGTGTCGACGCATTTTCGCTAGTTGTGTTTGATAATATTAGTCGCTGACTACTAGCTGGTACATCAGTTACCATGCCAGTACACTACCGGCATACATAGCAATTGCTCTAACTGCCTTTTCAGGCTGTTAAGATCTTTAACCTCTCGAGGGAAGCTCGTAGCTGACACAACTAGAGCCAACAGAGATGACAGGCTTCTTCGACAGAATACGAAGGTTCTTTAAAAAGCCAGAGCAGCGAGAGGACCGGCTCTTTTACATTAACGATGCTGACAGCAACGAGGAATCTAGATTCAGCAGCAACAAGATCGCAACGACCAAGTACACGTGGTACACGTTCATTCCGCGAGGCCTCTTCGAGCAGTTCAGACGAGTCGCGAACTTCTATTTCCTCTTCAACGCCATTATTTCCCTCACGCCGCTCAGTCCCGTCATGCCCATCACCACCATCACGCCTCTCGTCTTCGTCATCGGTCTCGCCATGCTTAAAGAGCTGTGGGAGGATATTAAACGCGGCGCGTCGGACTTCGAGACGAATAAGCGGAAAATACGCGTGATACTTCCGGATGGGTCGGAAGCGATTCGCGAATGGAGAGAGTTAAGAGTCGGCGACATAGTGCAAGTGGAAGGCGACACGTACTTTCCCGCGGATTTGATCTGCTTAGCCAGCAGCAGCGACGACGGTTCGTGTTACGTAGAAACGATGAATCTGGACGGCGAGACGAATCTTAAGTTGCGCCAGGCGCTTCACGAGACGTATGCTCTAGACGGGTCGCAGCTGGCGAGATTAAGAGGCACTGTGGAGTGCGAGCATCCTAACGTCTCAATTTACACGTTCACGGGGAAGATGCGCCTCGAGGGCCTTCAAGAGACGCCCATTTTCCTCTCGCCGACTAACATTCTCCTTCGCGGCTCCAAGTTACGAAACACGCGGTTCGCGGTGGGTCTGGTGGTGTACTCGGGGCGCGAGACGAAGATCATGATGAACGCCACGGATCCGCCGTCCAAGCGAAGCTTCGTGGAAAGGCGGCTGGATTACGTCATCATTTTCGAGCTCGTTCTCATGCTGACGCTCGCGATCTTCCCCGCCGCCGTCTTCGCGGCGCGGCTGTCGTACCAGGAGCAGTACATGTGGTACCTGGAGCTGGATCAGAACGCGCAGCTCACGGGGCTTAACAAGGCGCAGTATAACGCGGACAACCCCGCTCTCGCGGGCGTGCTGCAGTTCTTCACGTGCCTCGTGCTCTATGGTATGGCGATTGGCGTTCCCTCTTGTACCCTCCCTCTCATCCGCTCCCTCTCATCCCCTCCCTCTCGTCCCCTCCCTCTCATCCCCTCCCTCTCATCCTCTCCCTCTCATCCCCCTTTCGTCCCGTTCCCTCTCATCCCTTCCCTCTCATCCCTTCCCTCTCATCCCTTCCCTCTCATCCCTTCCCTCTCATTCCTTCCCTCTCATTCCCTCCATCCCCTTCCCTCCTCTCATCAGCCCCCCTCTCGTTCCGTCCTTTCTCATTCCCTCCCCTCACTTGCCCTCCCAACTCACATTCTTTCTCCTCTCACCCCCCTCCCCCTTCACATCCCCTCCCCTCCCATCCCCTCCCCTCTTATCCCTTCCCCTGTCATCCCCTCCCATATCATCCCTTCCGCTCTCACCCCCTCCCCACTCACCCCCTCCCCTCTCACCACCTCCCCTGTCTTCCCCTCCCCTCTCATCCTCTCCCCTCGCTGCGTGCCTGTGTGCCCGTTACCCATGCCCCGTATCCCCATCTCCTGCAGGCTACTTGGTGCCCATATCGCAGTGCACAACACTGCACATGCCCATGTGCTCGCCTCGACCGTCCCCTCTCTGCTCTTCGGAACCCTCACTATGGGCTGCCATCGTGTGGCCCCTACCTCCCTCCGCCCCCACAGGCTATTCGTCCCCATCGTGCTGCACGTGGCGCTGGAGGCCGTGCAGCTGCTGCACGCTGCCACTGCCCCTCTGCTCACCACACGGTGCCTCTGCTCCTCTTATCCGTCTCCTCTCTACCCGCCTGTCCCTCACCCTGTGCCCCCGACACTTCGCCCTGCAGGCTACTTCGTGCCCATTGCGCTGCACGTGGCGCTGGAGATACTCTGGTGCTTGGCTTGTCCGTCTCCTCTCTACTCCCTTGCACCCACACCATTTGCCCCCATCGTGTGCCACCTGCCCCTCTCTCCCCACCCCCCCCACACCTTGCAGGCTACTTTGTGCCCATATTGCTGTACGTGACGTGACGATGGAGGTCGTCAAGCTGCTGCAGGCTGCCACGACCCCTCTATGCATGCCCTCCTCTCCTCCGTGCGCACCCCCCACCTCCCCCCCCCTGCAGGCTACTTCGTGCCCATCTCGCTGTACTCGACGCTGGAGATGCTCGTGTGCTTCGCTCTTCCGTCTCCTCTCTGCTATGCTCCTCGGTACCCTCACCATATGGCCCCATCGCATCCCCTATTCACACCCCCCCTCCCCACCCCCCCCTCTCCCTCCGCAGGCTACTTCGTGCCGATATCGCTGTACGTGACGATGGAGATAGTGAAGCTGCTGCAGGCGGTGACGATATCGATGGACCTGCACATGTACTACGAGGACAAGGACATCCCCGCCCTCGCCCGCACCTCCAACATCAACGAGGAGCTCGGCATGGTGAGATGCCGTGGGTGGCATGGTGAGATGCCGTGGGTGGCATGGTGAGACGCGGCGCGGTGGGTGGCGTGGTGGGTGACATGGTGAGGGAGAGTGCAGGGTGGGATGAGTGGAGGGCCACGGAAGAGGGGCTGTGAAGGACATCCCCGCCATCGCTCGGCCCTCCAACATCAACGAGGAGCTCTGCATGGTGTGGTGAGGCGCGGTTGCAGTTGCAGTGACAGTGGGTGGGTGGCGTGGTGAGGGAGAATGCAAGGCAGGGACGAGTGGAGGGCCATGAGGAGGAGCTGTGACTGAGGGGCGGGTTAGGGGGTACGAGGGGGCCGGTCAATTACACGAGTCCCCTCCGTCTCCCTGCATGCCTCCCCACCCGCCCCTGGTCACGCCCACCAGGTGCGCACGGTGCTGTCAGACAAGACGGGCACGCTGACGCGCAACCAGATGGAGTTCTTCAAGTGCTCCATCGCCGGCACCCCCTACGGCATGGGCGTCACCGAGGTCGAGAAGGCCGCCGCCCAGCGCGCAGGCCGCCCTCCCCCACAAGAGGACGAGGACGACGACCAGGTGTACCTCCCCGAGCGCCCCCTGGAGAAGGGGTTCAACATGCGGGATCCAAGGCTGGACGGCATGAAGTGGGTGGAGCAGCCGTGTGCCGATGAAATCCGACGGTTCCTGGAGGTGCTGTCCGTGTGCCACACTGTCGTGGTGGACACGGCTCCCATTGAGCGCACTGCTAGTAGTAACATCTTTGCCATGGGGACTGCTGCGGGCGTGGGGGGTGAGGGTGGTATGGGGAATGGTGCAGGCGGGGTGGGCGAGGGGGCGAGTCCTGGGATGAAGAGCAGCAGCAGCAGCGTGAGCCTCGCGAGTGGAGGGTCCAGCGTGAGAGGTGGCGGGGCGGGCAGTGCAGGCGCGGGTGTGATGGGCGGAGGGGGCACGCCGCTGCTGCCAGGGGAAGGGGAAAGTGGGGGAGAGACACCGTCCCCGCTGGTACCGGGGGGGGAGGAGGCGGTGGATGGCGAGGCGGTGAGGTTCCTGGCGGAGTCACCCGACGAGGCGGCGTTTGTGGTGGCGGCGAAGCGCCTGGGGTTCCTGTTCCTGGGGCGGCAGGGCAACGAGCTCAAAGTGCGCGAGTATGGGGCGCGGTGGAGTGTGGTGCAGGACCGGTCGTACGAGCTGCTCAACACTCTCGAGTTCACCAGCCACCGGTCGGTGCCGCCTTTGAGTGCCACTCACTTTTCAGCTTTTCCGCTTTTTTCCACCCCCTTTTTCCATCACGACCTCGATCTTCCCTCTGCTTATCCTCCCCACCTGTCCCTTCCCTGTTTCCGCCCTTATTCCGCAGCCTTTCACCCCACCTTTTGACACCACTTCCATAATTCACCTCCTCCCGTTACCTCTTCCCCTCCCCCTCCCCCAACTCCACGCGGGTTCCCCATCCTTTCCCCTGGCCTACTTGCTGCAGCAAGCGCATGTCAGTGGTGGTGCGCACGCCAGAGGGGCGCCTGCTGCTGCTCTGCAAGGGCGCCGACAGCGTCATCATGGACCGCCTCGGGGCCTCCGAGCAGGCTCAGAAGTACCGGCCAATCACAGAGCGCCACATGACCATGTACGCGGAGGCCGGGCTGAGAACGCTGGCGATTGCGTGGAGGGAGGTGGGCGAGGAGGAATACGCGGTGTGGCAGCAGCGGTGGGTGGAGGCGAAGGGGTATGTGGCGGATGCGGGTGTGCAGGCAGAGCGGCTGGAGGCGCTGGCTGATGAACTGGAGAGTGAGCTGGTGCTCGTGGGCGCCACTGCCATTGAGGACAAGCTGCAGGTGCGCTGGTGGGTGGGGGTGAGGTGCAGGTGAGGCGAGGTGCAGGTGAGGAGAGGTGCAGGTGAGGAGAGGTGCAGGTGAGGCGAGGTGCAGGTGAGGAGAGGTGCAGGTGAGGAGAGGTGCAGGTGAGGAGAGGTGCAGGTGAGGCGAGGTGCAGGTGAGGCGAGGTGCAGGTGAGGCGAGGTGCAGGTGAGGTGAGGTGAGGTGCAGGCGAGGTGCAGGTGAGGTGAGGCGAGGTGCAGGTGATGTGAGGTGAGGTGCAGGTGAGGTGAGGTGCAGGTGAGGCGAGGTGCAGGTGAGGTGAGGTGAGGTGCAGGTGAGGTGAGGTGCAGGTGAGGCGAGGTGCAGGTGAGGTGAGGTGAGGTGCAGGTGAGGCGAGGTGCAGGTGAGGTGAGGTGAGGTGCAGGTGAGGTGAGGTGCAGGTGAGGTGAGGTGCAGGTGAGGTGAGGTGAGGTGCAGGTGAGGTGAGGTGAGGTGCAGGTGAGGCGAGGTGCAGGTGAGGTGAGGTGCAGGTGAAAGGGGAGAGGGGCAGGTGGGGACGAGGTACGGTGAAGGCGAACTAAAGGTGGGGCAGGAGCGGGGGAGGGAGGGAGGGAGGGAGGGAAGCGTGCTGCTTGCCACGAAACGACTTGTGTTGCCGTGAATCTTTGGATGGCCTCGCCCCAAAAGATCCAGGTGACTTACAGCCGACTTTTGAGATGTCCCAAAAGTTGCTGCGTCTGGGTTACCCAAAGCCATTCCAAGAGTTGCTCACGGCCACCCTCTCACCGCCCCCGTCCGCACGTGGGAGTGCCGCAGGCCATAAATTCACTGGCACACTCCTTCTCTCCACATCATCCCATGCTCCCCTCCCCGTCCAATGTCTGCCCCCCCGCCTCCCCCCTGCTTGGCCCCGCCCCCTGCCCTCGGCAGGTGGGAGTGCCACAGGCGATAGAGGCGTTGGCGGTGGCGGGGATAAATCTGTGGGTGCTGACGGGGGACAAGCTGGAGACGGCCATCAACATCGGCTTCGCGTGCAGCCTGCTGCGCCACCACATGCAGCAGCACCTCGTCTTCCTCGAAGATAATGACGCCGCTGTCAAGGAGGCTGCCAGAAGGGGCGTGCCGCTCAAGGAGGTGAGCGACATTGCAGTGTGGTGCGGTGGCCATCAAGGGGCACGCGCTGTAAATGGCTGTCCCTGGGTCGATTCAGAAGCTCCTGCCAGCCACTTTCCTCGGATATTTGCTCTGCCACTGTGTGGCCGTCTCTTCTCGTCCTCTTGCATCAACCTATGTTTGCTTCACCGCACCCATCCCTTCCACGCTCCCGGGCCCCCACCCATTTCCCATTTCCCCTTCCCACCCGTTCTGGTGTTCACTCAACTCCTCTCCCTCTCAGGACCACTCCCTCTCCTCTGCACACTCCCCTCCCCACTTTCCAACCCCCTCCCTCCCCAACACTTGTTTGCACCCTCCCCTCGCGCCGTGCCTCCGCGCGCTGCAGTTTGCAGCAGAGCTGGTGCGCTCACAGATCCTGGCAGCCAGTGAGTCCGTGCACGGCGCACAGTGGGCAGGCGCACAAGGGGGGGGCGCACAGGAGGGAGGCGCACAAAGAGAAGGCAGCGCAGAGGCCAGTGGGAGAACCAGCAACCGTGCCGATAATCATGCGCAGGAACACAGCGGCGACGGGGGCGGAAGCGAGGGCGGGAGCGAGGGCGTGGGTGGGAGTGGGAGTGAGAGTGGGAGCGAGGGCGGGGCGGCACAGGAGCACGCAGTGGTGATAGACGGCAAGGCACTGGCACTGGTGCTGGCAGATGACGCCCTCCGTGCTGCTTTCCTGGAGCTGGCGCTGCAGTGTGCGTCCGTCATCTGCTGCCGCGTGTCGCCCAAGCAGAAGGCGCAGGTGACGGCCATGGTGCGGCGCGAGGGCAAGCAGATCTGCCTCGCCATTGGGGACGGGGCTAATGACGTGGGCATGATCCAGAAGGCGAACATTGGCGTGGGCATTCGTGGCGAGGAGGGACAGCAGGTGAGGGGAGGGCGGCAGGTGAGGGGAGGGCGGCAGGTGAGGGGAGGGCGGCAGGTGAGGGGAGGGCGGCAGGTGAGGGGAGGGCGGCAGGTGAGGGGAGGGCGGCAGGTGAGGGGAGGGCGGCAGGTGAGGGGAGGGCGGCAGGTGAGGGGAGGGCGGCAGGTGAGGGGAGGAGGGCAGGTGAGGGGAGGGCGGCAGGTGAGGGGAGGGGCAGCAGCTGTAGTAGGGGATGAAGAGATAGAAAGTCGAGAGAGAGAAATGGTTTTTTGGCCCGAATGCCAGTGCTGCGTGAGGCGCATCAGAAGTAGGGATGTGGGGGTAGCGCACATAGACTTGTGCATAGTCGTCGCCCGTGCTGCAGTTGTGCAGCATGGCATGGCTGCCCTTTCTGTGATGGCCAATGTGCAACCCCCATATGTGTGCCTGCACCAGCATTCATCGCCCCACGTGTTTCCTCTGCTGCCCGCCTCGCATACCTGCTTGTTTCCCACGGCCAGGCTGTCATGGCGTCAGACTTTGCCATTGGGCAGTTCAGATTCCTGGAGCGGCTGCTGCTGGTGCACGGGGGGTGGTGCTACAAGCGCATCTGCATTCTGGTGAGGGCGGGCTCTTACTTGCTAGGTTTTACTTGTATGCGTGTAATGCCTGCTGCTTCCACGCACAGCCATCATCTCCTTTCCAAACCAGACCTTCATTTCACCTCGATTGCTTGCTCTTCCTCTTCACCACACCCTGCTCCTGTCTCCTTGCACTCGGTCGGTATCCTATCCCGATGTGCGTGCTCCCACGCCACCCCACATGGCATCACATACTTTTTTTTTATTCCTTTTTTTTCACCTTCACCATCCCCTACTCCCACCATACCCTATCCTTCCCTTCCCTATTCTTCTCCTTATCCCATCCCATCCCACCTCCCCCCTCACCCCACGCAGATAACCTATTTCTTCTACAAGTGTTTTGTGTTCGCGTTCACCATCCTCTTCTACAACTGCCTCGCCTACTTCTCCGGCACGGCGGTGTACTACGACTGGTACCTCACGCTCTTCATGGTCTTCTTCACCTCGCTGCCCATCGCCGTCGTGGGAGTCATGGACCAGGACGTCAAGGCCGTCTACCGCCTGCGCTACCCGCAGCTCTACAAGCAGGTGGGTGGGCACTGGGTATGAGCGTGTGAGGCAGCTCTACGCCCAGGTGGGTGCTTCAGGGCGTGTGGGGCAGCTGTGTGGATAGCTGTGCCGTGCTTCCTTGCTCCCTCCACACCACACCCCTTCTAAATCTAAAACTTTTGCAGGTGTATGGCCAGGTGTGTTTTATTAGCATAGGCAAGTGGGAGAAGCCAATCATAACAACCTAAACACCCAGACGGGGTGGCCACTTGGGGTGGCTGGGCCAACACACCCATGTGGGGTGATCTAACCAGAAGATCAAAGCTTCCTGCCCTTACATGTGGCACCATTTTGGGCAGAAAGGAGGGGCAGAGGGCTAACCCTTCCTCTCTGGCTCTCCCCGCCCTCTTCCCTGCCCCCCAGGGCCAGCGCAACGAGTACTTCTCAGTGGTGAGTGTGGCGAGCTGGATGGTGAACGGGCTGGTGCAGGCGGGCATCCTCTTCACGCTCACGCTGCTGCCCTTCGCCCTCGTGCCCGACCGCCCCACCGGGCTCATCCTGGACCTCACGGCCGTGGGCACCATCATGTATGCTTCTGTCGTCACCACCGTCAACCTTGAACTCGGCTCCAACGTGCAGGTGAGCCGCCTAGGTGCCTTGTTGCTGCCCCTACTGAGCACATGAGAGAGCATCTGGGCGGACGTGTTAGCGATAGCAGTGTCGAGTCTGTGTGGCCATGAGTGACATGCTGCTTGCATTCCTCAGTGACATGCTGCTTGCATTCCTCCACAACATCCTTCCAAACTCCTCTCGCTTCCTCGTGTTCTTTTCTCCTCCCACCTCCTTCATCCTGCCCTCCCAGCAACCGCCTCGTTCCCCAACACATTGTTGCAACATGTTCAAAGCGCATGTCTTTAAAATACATAACCGCTTTTTTCTTATGACATGTCCAAAGACTCTCCACTTCTTTTGTACTTTCCTCTCTTACCCCTTCCACCCCTCCTTCTCCCTTCCCACCGGCAGTATTGGAACGCACTGCACTTCATCACCATATTCGGGTCCATCCTCTTCTTCTTCATCCTCATGACGATCGGCAGCTACCTGCCCGCCAATTGGGTCGGCAATCTGGTGGGAGTGGCCGGCCAGCTGCTGCCCGCCGCCAGCTTCTGGCTCAACCTGCTGCTCGCCGTGGTGGCCGCCATGCTGCCATCCTACACCATCCGGGGGATCTGGAGGTGATGCTCGGGGGCGCTGGGCCGGGATGGGAGGGATGGGGAGCCTTGATGCCTCGTATTATCTGCTCAGTCTCGCACCGCATTCTGCTCTGCTCTCCGTCTTCCCCAGCCATGTGTGTCCAGGAAACGAGCAGCTGGTGCAGTGGGAATAGTCGAGGTCAATGCTGTGGCACCTCAAGCACTCTCAACCTTTTCATCCCTGATGCGCACTAGCTCTTCCCCTCTCACCCCACTTTCTCCTGTGTCTCGTGGCAGGCATGTATGCCCGGGCGACCATGAGGTGGTGCAGGAGATCGAGCGCAGAGAGAGGCGGCGAAGGTTGACGCGGCTCTCCACCATGGCACGCCACATGTGCACCGGTGCACCACTGGTGACCAATCACGGCGCGACTGGCGCTGCTGACGTGGAGAGGTCGGCCCATGGCACTGCTGGTAGCGATGACAGTGGGGAGGGGAAGGGGAAGGGGAAAAAGAAGGGGGTGGGTGGGGTGGGGAACGGGGTTGTGGGAGAGTACCAGGTGGCAGCAGAGCAGGGTCCGAGTGTGGCTGAGGAGTTGAGACACAGACACAGCAGCAGCAGAGACACTCAGCAGTAACCTCACGGATGTACCATAGCCAATAGGCACCCAGTAGCACCAAATGAGAAAATGCCAGGTGGGTACCGTATCTGTTCGTGTTGGATAGGTGGCAGAAGAAAAAGATGGCCAGGAGGGGTCTAGTTGTAGAGTTTCAGGTGCATGTGGAAGGTGTGGATGCCAGTTATATTGACGAGTAATGCAGTTTGTCCTGGTGCTGTTGCTAGCTGATAATCTATAATCATTTGATCCTTGCAAACGAATCCTGCCTGAGTACTGGTAATTTCAAGACGAACCTGTCATTTATGGTAAACTAACAACCAGCAGGTTGGCAAAAAACCGGCTACACTTTACTCCTAACAACGGTAATACCATGTACCTTCTTGGGATGTGCTGGAAGTCTGGCACTTCCCAGATTTTCGAGATAAGTTATTTAAAACCGGAGTCTCAAGTATCCCGAAGTTGCCTCATCCTTCCTACCTTTGGTTGGGTCACAAAGTCCAACCAAGCTTCCTACCTTTGGTTTTGTCACTAAGTCCAACCAACCTTCCTACCTTTGAAACCTGTGGACCCTGGGTTTTAACTTTTCTAAGCCAAAGACGCGGCGAGCTTGATGTGCGCCGCCACGGCGAGCAGCTCAGGGAAGCTCAGCGGAAGAACCGGCGGCTTGAAGCCGTTGGGATAGCGTTCATCACGGAGAAACGACTTGAGGTAGTTAATCGGAACAGCGTAAGCGCGGACCCTTCCGCCGAACACCCCTGCCAGCGCCGCCGCTTCGGAGAGCGCCACATCTTGGCGATTCGTGTCGAAACTGAGCTCGGGATTGTTCTTTTTGGAGGAGTCAAAGCGGTGCTTGCGGAAGCGGCCAATCTCGCCGAGAGTGATGAATTTCTTCGTCACGGAGAAGCTGAGCATTTCGTTGAAGAGCGTTACGTTAACGAGGTAGTTGTTACCGAGGTAGGAGTCATCGCGGACGAGCGACACGTCGTGCTCGATCTTGTTGTGCGCGCGGAGCTGCACGAGGTCGATCGTCTGCGCCGCGGGGTTCCCCACGCCTTTCGCGAAGGCGGAATCGAGAATGGCGTTCGTCATGGTCGGGGAGAAGGAGTAGAACTTGCTAAAGGCGGCGACAATGCGGTCGCGCGGAACGGCGGAGCCGTCGCGCGGAAAGACGCCGTGGTTCGCCATCGTGTTGAAGCCTGGGCACGGGCCTCGAGTGGTCGTAGGGTCCGGCGGCGGGACGTACGAGCCGAGTTTCAGCGCGGTGGTTGACGGGGCGAGCAGCGCGGCGAGCGCTGCTATGAACTTCGCGAGCGCGAAAGAGCATGACGTGATAAGGAAAGGTTTACGCCTGGAAGGGCGGTTCTTGTGAGAGTAAGGGAGAATTTTGTGAGACATGGCGTAGGAACGGTTACTAGCTGAATGCAGGAGAAAGGGATACTTTTTAGAGACAGACAGGTGATAGTTCATGAAGAGGGAATGACAGACTTATCATCGAGGTAGTAATGGGAATGGAGGTGGTGGTGAGTGCGGAGAGTTTTGTGGTAAAACTCAGAGATACAGAGGACGAAGGCGCAGTTCGGAGAATCAGCATAGTCAGGGATGAGGGGACTTCAGGAAGAAAACAAAGGTTTTGAGCGGTTTACAGATAGTGCTGAGATCGGTTGGATTCGGTTGGGGTGCTAGCTCTCTGTGCTGAGCTGTGGGATTCGGTTGGGGGAACAAGCAACAGACCGCACGGCAGCTGGAGCGGGGGTAACTCGGCGGAACGGAGGACAGCGCAGAGGGGCGAGGATTCTGGTGCACGCCTCGGAGGTCAGCACAGTGACGACTGCTGTCTGCCGACCATGGCATGGCCTCTGGATTGCAGGGCGTTTTTCCCTGTTTAGCCTGTTTTCATAGTGAGTTTTGGCCGCCACACTGCTAATACAGCACTCGTCGTCTGTACCGCCCTGCCCACCGCTGGCATGACTATAAATCCATCCTGCTTATTGTGAAACCCTGCCTTGTCCGAGCCCGACTCTAGAAGCACCATGCTGGCATAAATACTCCCTTTAAATCCCACCGTGTCAACCTCCCTAGAAAAAACCCACAGTGTTGACCTTGCCCTCCCTTTCTCAGCCTCCCTTTCCGACCGGCATATCCCAAGGCTTGACTTTTTTCTCAGCCTGGTTCCGAGACCTTTCAGTTTCAAGGATTTCTCTCGACGGCTACACCTGATGCTCGCCAATTTCACACCACCTGAGATTTTTCATAAATCACCCTTGACCTTTTTTGGCTTTAAAGCTGCGGTCTACATACTAAGTGGTGTTTTTTGGGTGTATTTTTTATGCCCACCCTTTCGTGCGTTTTGATTGGAGAACGAAGTCAGCAGTTTCAGAAACACCGCAGCAGACGAACTCAGACAGGAAACGCGAATCCAGCCCAATTTCGTGCTGACGCGTAGTTTGGGGGAGGGTCTGCGGAAGGGCGGGAAACAACCTGGGGAGTTCTGTTTCAGGCGGAAAGAACCCCAACCCCCTCTCTCCACCCCTCTGAACCGTTAGCTTTGCAGGAAAGGTGGCCGAGTTCAAAAACTGGTCACCCGGTTTTCAAGTGATAATCTGAGGCCTCCCGCTCTAGGTATGTAGACCGCAGCTTTAAGGATCAGACATCCAGGAATTAAAGTCTATTCGTGACAGTGTTTAGTGTAGATCTCGCAAAACTCTCACTCAGTAGCTGCAGCGCACAGACTGGATCTTCCGATGCGACCGTGATTTTGTTTTTTTTTCCTACTGAGTCGTGTGGGTAGTCTCGAACATTTCCCGACTTAAAACCAATGCTGTCCGAATAAACCCCGATTTCGGGTAAACCAGAAAGGATTGCCCGGGGGTGTGAAATTGGTGGTAGTGAATTTGGCAGGAGTCAGGTGTACTATATTTGAGGCTGTTATATATGGTCCCTGATTCTGGATTGTATGCGGTGATACGTTTTGGAACAATGGCATTGCTCTTTTCCCTTTTTGTTGACCTTCATCCATTACTATCATAAAATATCGCGCTTATCGCTCACTTCTCGTAGCTGCTTTTAGGGCTTGTACGCTTGCGTACGGATAGGGATCGCTTGAATACTGTCATATGCCAATTTATTAACATAGAGTTAGCAATTCGACCTCGCCCTCTTCAGGTTCTCTTTCAACCCACTCCTCGCCAACGCTTTTTCCGACTCTTCAACCAAATGAAAGAAAAACACTCCGCGTGGTTCGTTTTTAGTTTTTTTATGATAGTACCGAAAAAAATGGAACATACACCATGTAATTTCTTGACAATCCCGCGCCTGCCATACTGCAGTGGCATGACACTGTATACATTGTTGGCAACTCGGACATGTCATGATTCCTTAAAACGAATCGAGAGCCCTGATCACGGTCCTCCTTTATATGATTTTTTTTTACCGAAATACCTTGCTAGTAAAGATTTTTTATATGTTTACATTGCGACCGACCATCGACGCAACCGTGGCGCCATTCTGATCGGTGCACTGTACCTTCTTGAACCTTTTTTCCACCCTGTTTTTGTCAACAGAATAAACGAGAATGAATGAACTAGCAGCAAGATAGGTACAAGTAGGAAACCCTAATTGGGTTGTACCCCTTATGGGCTACCCCACTATAGCCTACACAATAAGCAGCATATAAGTTTGACACACCCCCATAGGCAAAGTGGGGGAGAACAAGAGGTCACAAGACCGGTCAAGAAAAGCAAAGCAAGCTCAGGGTGGATCACAAAGTCACCACGCATTCTGAGCACAAGCAAATGGCCACAAGGCCAGTTTAAATGCAGAGTTATATAATGGAGAACAAACAATACAGTGATCAAAACCTAGCAAGTGTAAGCATGCAGGTATAAGTATATAGATCACAGTACAAGCAAAGTCAAGAAGTGAGCAAGTGAGGCCAAGTAGGCACAAGGCCTAGAACAGTACAGAAACACTGATGATCACAAGGCTGAAGTGCCTTGGTGAAGATATCAGCAGTGTTGGCCCGAGATGCCACGTAAGCAAGACGAAGCTGACCACGCTGCTGCAACTCTCGAGCAAGGAAGTAGCGCAGAGCAATGTGCTTCGTTCTGTGCTCCAGTCTGTGCTCCTGACGCAAGGCAATCATGGCCTTGTTGTCGACGTACAGAACTGGAGGAGAACGAGGCGGCTCTCCCAAGTCGGTCAGCATGTAGGTGAGCCAGCGTAACTCCTATGCAGCCATGGCCCCTGCGTAGATCTCAGCCTCACAACTGGAACTGAGAACAGAAGACGAGCGGGTAGACCGCCACGAAACAGAGCCGGAGCCAAGGCTGAAAGTGTAACCCTGTGACGACCGCTGCGTAGCCAAGTCGTCAACCCAAGAAGCGTCTGCGTGACCAGTGAGGACAACTCGAGCCCGTCCTCCAAGCACGAGCCCCATGCCCGACGTACTGCACAAGTAGCGCATCACCCTCTTAGCGGCCTCCCAGTGCTCTGGTCGGTGTCTCCCGGACGCAACGTAGCGTGCCAGGATGCTAAGAGGGTAAGCAAGGTCAGGACGAGTGCAGGTCATCAGGTACATGAGGCAGCCCACAAGCTCTGGATACGGGCCACTTGGCTCTACGGACTCATCCGAAGGCAGAGCTGAGAGCGAGTGACCGGTAGGCAGAGGAGTGGACTGCGGCGAGGAGTACGTGAAGCGGAAGCGCTGAAGGACCTGCTGCACCATGTGTGACTGAGTCAAGGTAATGGTGCGCTGTGCTCTGTCCGGGTGATCTGCAAGCCAAGATAGCTGCGCAGCTCACCCAGGTCTGTGCACGTGTGTCTCTTCTGCAGCTCCGACTTCACGTGGGCGAGTCCCTCATTGTCAGCAGTGGCAAAGACCAAGTCGTCGACGTACACGAGGATGTAGAATGGCGGCAGCGAAGTGTCGGTGCGTAGAAACAGCGACGGGTCAGCAGTAGAAGGAGCAAACCCAAGAGCCCCAAGAGTCGTCCTCAGTGTGTCGTGTCACTCGCGAGGCG